CTGGAACAAAATTTTTAGGATAATGATTTTTAAGAGTAAATTTACTTCTTTCTAAGATTATTTTTGAACATTTGAACATTTTTTTTTTTTTTTTTTTTTTCACAGATTTTATAATTTGTTTTATGGTTCTCAGATTGATTTTTATGAGTTGCATTCTTTTAAAATTGTATTCACTCTTGACCAATAGAAATGTTGTTACCAATGTTCAGCAAACCAATAGAAATGCGTCTTTGCTCCGGACTCAAGAGAAGAGAATGTGATCTGGAAAACGTAATTTTAAAGACTACAACTTGTAAAACTCAATCTGAAATGAGACATCTGAAAAACTTTTTTTTTTTAAACCTCTTTAAAATTAACCTACATAACTGAAATATGAAAATAAAATCAGTGTTTAACATAAAAAAAAAAAAAACGGTCTAAGAAGACAGCAATGTTACTCTTAAAACATTTAGTTTTTGTTAAAACTTTTTATTTTTAAGTTTTATTTCTAGATTGCATTTTTTTTATTAGAATTTACCATTTTGTTTCTCATATTTTTATTTACAAAACATACAAATTTCACTCCATAATTATGTTGTATGTGAATATGTTAAGTCCAGCTGCTTCATAGATCTTTAATCTCCTTAATATTAAACTCTCATCCAAAACCACATGTTTGTCTTTTTTCTCGGCAGCAAGAAAAGCGAATTTTCACCAACTTCCACCGCCAGCTGTTCTGCTGGATCGATAAATGGGTGGGTTTGACCATGGAGGACATCCGGCGGATGGAGGAGGAGACCCAGAAAGAGCTGGAGGAGGTAATTCATTCATTCTGTCCTCTCATGTTCAGACCTGAACTAGAACATGCTGCCCTCTTTCTTTGGGTGATTTATTGCAGCTGAAGTTTCAATCCAGTAATTTTTCAATGTTATGATTACAGCAGGTTGCATGCGATGACGCTTTACTTTAAAATCTTCCTGATTTAACCTGTATTTACTCCTAAATGTCACATCAGATGCGTCAGAAAGGTGATGTGCGAGGCACCACTGCAACAGACGAGTAGAGGCTCTGCGCTGTAGGTCAAACACTAGAGGCAGGCTGAGTAAGTTTCTGCACCACAGGTGGCAGAGCTGCATGGATCCGTTCTCCTCCTCTCGCCGCTGTCCGACGTGTCTGCTTCATGTTTTGGATCACAGCTGTTGTTTACAGATGTTTGTACTTTTCATCCTTTTATTTCTTTAGTCCATTCTCACTCTGATTTTCACTCATAAACCCTGTTTTTCTACCATGGATCCCTCAATTAAATTAATTTAAAGTTGGCTTTAAAAGAGAAATGTTGGCGTGGTTTAAAAGTTTGATCACATTTCAGTATTTTATATATATATATATATATATATATATATATATATATATATATATATATATATATATATATATATATATATATTTATATATATATATATATATATATATACATATATATATACTTGTTTGCCAAAATATTTATTGATATTTTGGACATGAGAATACATCTATACAATCACAGGCTGCCAACTAAGCCATTTAGAAATACTTTAATGATCCTACATGGCTTAATCCCTTGTTTACTGAATTAACTACATAAAAATGGTATAACAACAGCTATAGTCTACATAGGATTGGTTGAAAGTTTTACTTAGAAACTTATAATATTCTATGCAATTTCAAGTGTGAAAATTAATTTTAGCATAATTCCTTCTAGTTAATATGGGAAAAAATACATATAGCAACAAAGAATCCAATATAGTTTTATATTTGCTGCAAGCAGAAGATAAAGTTCAGTTTCTAATGACTTAGACAGATTTATTTAACAAAAAGAAATTTCATTTAAAACAGCTCTAGACAATTTTATTTTTTAAAGTGCAGCCTTGATATTGAGGGAACTATAATAGTACTGCTCTGCATAAGGAATTGCTTAACAAATATGATTGGATATTGAGAATTTTGTGTTAAAGACCTGTCTTTAAATGGCTGGTTTGAGTGGTTCATTAACATACAGTTAATAAAGTCATACTGTAAGTGCAGAGATGAAGTCGAGTGAGCTGAGATGTTGTCGCTACATATTGTCGAGGGCATAAAGATAAGGAGTGAAGAAAGAACAGAGGTGGTGGAGCAGTTTGTTAGAGTTTTAATTTAGGTTTAAAGGCTGCATATCAAGCCGTGGTTTTAAAGCAGCTCCCTGCTTGGCATGTTAGTATAAGAACAGTTAATTGCAAAATGTTTCTAATTAATGAATTGAGATCAAAGATATAAAGTCCCGACTTACCTCTAGATTTTCAGCAACCGTTTATAAAGTTCTCCATATCTTCTTGTTTAGTTTTCCTAATATGTTCGTCTCTTTAGCGGAAGGCTAGACGTCATCTGTTTGAACCTCCAGGAGGCACTTGGTCTGTTTTATTTGTCCAATTCGAAGCAACACTTTTCCCTTAACATTATCCTTAGAAATAAAAAGCATCTAATCTGCGCTTGAATGTTGCTTACGTTTGCAGCTTGACAGGTTTTAATGTATCCAGAGCTCAGAAGGCTGACCTCATGTGCTCCGATTGGTCACAAGCAGGTCACTATTTTGCAAACCTCTGCCAACATCTGAGATGTAAACAAGAGTTTTATCTGATTTTCAAAGTGTTTTACATCAAAGGTAAAGACAGGATCATGTCGAGCTGCTGTACAGGAAACTCAAGCTAATGCTAAAATATAACAGGAGCAATCAGGAGCCTCTGATGTGTAAACGGTTTGTTTTTGGGACGTCAGCTTCCAGCTAAGCTGTGATGAGCACCAAATGATCTGCTGATGATTTGGAAAGTGTCCTGACTGCTGTGATGTCATTTTAGTAAAGCAAAATTTAAATAATGATGAAGGGAGCAAGTTTTGATCATTAACCTAATTACTAACCTAGAAAGGAGCGGTACTTGATCTGCATCTCAGCTGTTATTTTACAGATTTAGCAAGTTTAAAATAATTAAAGGGAATTTTAATGCCATGAAAGGGAGACAAACCAAACTTTGGACTTTGACTATTTTTACTTCTGCTTCTGAACATCTCATGGACTCATCTGTTGGTGTCGGATGATTTGCACAGAAATGAATCAGGGTTTTAATGGTCACTCTTTAACCTGATCCTGATGCTCTGGTGCTTTCAGATGCACTTATAGGAATCAGGTTCTGCTGTGAAGCTTTAAAGATCCCATCAGAGATCCATAAAGGAAGAAGAGGGTCCTGTTATGTTTTAATGTTTCACTGTCTGCTCTTTGTTCACTTGTCTCTGCCATTTTCACTCACATGCTAATCTTTTCTTCCAGCTCGTGCTGCTTTGTTTCCATTTCTTTTTGTTTGTTTTCTCCCTGCCTAATGTTTCTTTAGTTGGTAAATTGGGGCGTGGGCCGCTGGATTCTCCTAGAATATAAATAAAAATCACCAAAGTCAACAAACATAAATTAAATTAGAAGAACAGAATATTCCTGCATGTATGAAATTATATTACTTTTATTTAAGATAAAAACATCTTCCAAAGCAGTGACCTAGAAAAAAACCTCCCTCTGACTTTAGCAGTAATTTTCCAGCAGGTCACCAGTCTGAACAGGTGTGCTGCTATTAGCTCAACAGCTGTAATACGAGGAGTCCTCCTGTCTCCTTTCAGTGACTCTGTGGTTTGTTGCAAATGTACGTTTTTGCAAAACAAATTGTAAAAATATTTATATAGTCATAAAAATATATATTCTAAAACCCTTTTCCCCCCTGGAAAGACTAAAAGTATCATAAAAATCATCTTCTAATAAACTAGACGTGTATATAAACAGTATAATTTAATAACATGTAGCTTTAGCTTAGAAGCCTGAGTGGAAGAATTGTAACAGAGACTGAAAGGGACATTGATATGGCAGAGGATTAGGGACAAAGGAAAAAAAAATGGCCACATAAAGCTTTGGATTTTTCACTTTATTCTCACATTCTGGCTTTAATCTCAGAATTACTCTCATAGAATTAGGACTACTTGTAATATTCCTACTTTATGGAAGTGGTAATCTTGATAGAGTCTTAGGTAATTTGATTTACAATCCATTTTTTGGCCCTAATCATCTTCCATACCCTGTTGGGTTCAGACGCTTGATGATTTTCTACCCCTGTAGCTCAACTGGTTGCATACAAAGGCTCTGAGTGAATTATTGCCCCCTACTGGCTTATAATTTATTCCTTTAAAATACAGTTGTTTCTCCGTTAGTTAGTAAGCAAAGCTCGTTTTTGAGTTGCCTAATAAGACAATGTGAGCAGGGCTACCAAACCCAAAACAGGTCAGCCAATCACAGTGCAGAATTACCAATTAAAGCAAGCCTACCAATCCCACAGCGGAACCAAAATAAACATGGCGGTGCAGGGGGATGTATGCATTGTTAAATGTTTTTTTTTCCCATAACAGATTTTATGGGAACAGTCTTTCAGGTGGGGAACTAAAGCTCGGCTCCACACCTGATCAAAATGTGTGTGCGTAAGTGCGTCTGCTCTTGAATTGAGGAGGTAAAAGAGACATTTTGCCAATGGAACAAGACAATTTACACTTAAAATAGGAAAAACACAATTGCATTGTCTTTTTTTAAGTGCATTTTTATCTAATAATCTTTTTTTAAGAGTAAAAATACTCATTCCATTGGCAAACTATCTCATTTATGACCTCAAATTAAGGGTAAATACACTTAATTTAAGAAATTTTTTACTTATTCCTAGATCGTTTTTCTAGTGAGGTTAGCTAGTAGCGCCCAGGGAAAAAATATTTTCAGCCTCAAAAAAGACAAAGTAAACAGTATCAGGGAACGCTTTGTGTACACTGATTTATCTAAATATAATAAAAGGTTGTTTCTTGCTCCTTTATTGTCCTAGAAGCTATATGAAAATACTTTAATCTTTGTAATCAATCAACTGACACATTAAAGGTAAAACCGCTTATATCACAGGATTTATTCCTGATGTAAATAAACAGAAATGCCTTAAAATTCACCCTGCTATGTTAAACATTTAGATGACTTGATTTAATGTAAGAATTGTTGACAAAAAAGGGATGTAAGATTTAGTGGAATCAAATAAACAAAAAATGGTAACTGTTGACCTTTAGTGAGTAATATTAAATATCAAGTTTAACTCTAATAAATCTATAGAGGGCCTCCTTAGGCCAGCTTTCTGGCAAGGGGCAGCAACAGGCTGGGGAGGGGCAATGTTGTAGCAATAGAAAACTATGGTTTTTAACTCTTATTTAAAGGACTTGATGTGTTGGATGGAAACTAACCTGAGCTAACCTTCATCTGTTTCCTGCGCATCGCTCTGAGCTCACAGATGTAACATGAATCAAGCATCCTCTCTCTCTCTCTCTCCGTTCTCCTGACTCTCTGTTTTTCTCCTCCTCCAGCTGCGTCAAAAAGGTCCGATTCGAGGCACCAGTGCTGCTCATGAGCAGTGAGGCAAATCAACCAAACCCTGTCATGATGATGTCATCAGAGACGCGCCCAACCCCACTGAGAAAGCGGCCCCGACTTCGCCTCTTCTCTTCCTGTCTCACATGATTCATTGGGGGGGTTTGATAAGATTGGTTAACAGTACTGTACAGATCCCAGCCCTGTCACAAGCCTCCTGTTCACTCAGTTAACACACAAAAAAAGATAAAAAAAAACAAAAAAAATACATGTTTTTGCATACATATAAAAAAAAAAAGAAAGAAAATGCACAGAATATAAATTGCCTGAAATGTAATTGTTAGTTGATTCTAATGGGCTTTGTTTTTATCCAGGACTCCAAGCCTTTTCAATTAGAACGTTGTTTTTAGCTAACACAGGCCCCCGCCAGAACCCGCTCCCTTTAAGCAGAAGTCTGACATTTATCCTCTCTTGTATTATAAAACTGTCTCTATTTGATTCCCCACGCCGCAGTCCGAATGTTTCGTCCTCGTTTTTCCCTCCTCTGCTTCATCCCGCTCTCCCCTCTGTCTGCCGGTACTTTTCTTAGGTGATTTCTGTGTCTTGTAAAGAAAACCGTTATTTTCTCCGTTCGCCCATATTCAGCCCCGCCCTCATGTTTGGTCGTGGAGCGTCTGTGCTCCTCCCCATCACTGCATGTAGTAGCTGCAGTGCAGCTCCATTAGGATCTACTGTTCAGAGTGTAAGGGAGAGACGCTTCCCGTCAGCGTGTGCGTTCCTGCGCTTCTTTCCAACTGCCTTCGCTCTCTGAGGACGGTCGTTGATTTTTTCTTTTTTTGGGGGGGTCTGAGCCGGAGAGCTGCAGATCCAGGTTAAACCAGCCTTCTGAATTTTGCCTCACGCTGTCGCTGCATGGCCTTCCTCCTCGGCTAGGGCTTTAACTGGACGGCTCGCGCGGCCTCCAGAGCAAAACTAAAGTGTGAGTGTGCATTGCTGTGTGCATGAATCAGGTTAGGGGGGTTTTATATCTTCATTATGTATCCTAATCAGAAATCTGTCAACTGTAAGAAATGGGTCCAGGCAAATCCGCCATGTTTGTTAGGGATTGTTTGGGGGTATTTTTTTTGGTCCATATCCAATTATTTTTCCAAGCTTGTTTAAAAAATATTAAAACCTTTTTTTATTGTTTTTTTTTTTTTTTTTCTGGCTTAGGATGAGAATTGCTTCAATTAATAAACTTTTGCGCATTTTTTTTCTTCAACAGATCCTTCTTACAACTTTGGCTACATCACATGAGATTTCCCCATCAGAGTTTTTTTATTTTTATCATGAGCTTAAGGTTAAAGATGGCGTCATGGCTTTACGACTTGCTATCCTGGTTCGAGGTGTTAGACTTTTTAAGGTTTTATGGTCGTTGGTGTAGAAACAGTTAAATGGAAGCTATACTGTAACTGTACTCTTATTAAATCCCATAATAAAGTGGACAAAGTGTAGATATAAACTTCACTGGGCTTTTAACGTCGTCAGGGTTTCTCGTTTAATATTGTGCCGCTGTTTATTTCTTGACGGCAGGTGGTATCCGCCCTGTAGGCAGAGTGCAACGCGGCGCCAGCTGTACCTCATCCATGCTTATGAATGTGTTGCTGCAGACGATAGAGAGCGGCGGCGTGTTTTACACAGATCTGATATCGCCGGCTCATGAGGACAAGCGGTTGGACAAAGCCTAGATTTGCATGCTCGGTTTTATTTTTTTAAACTTTCTTTTTTTTTTGCTCTTATACTGTTTTGTTGTTTCTTTAGCAGCACCTTCATGAGTCTCGAACTGCGTCAGACGAGGTGGCCGGTTAAAGGGCGGCCTTCCCCTCACTATCAGACTCTCCTGAGCTCGACCTCTGACCCCGAGACGAGGAGTGAAAGGCCTCAGAGCCTGATGGTGACGGGAGTCGCCCTGTACGGTGATACCAGCCGGTGGATACTGTAAGGAGGGAAGAGCTTGAAGCATAGGAAAAGAGATGGAGTCCAAAATACTGTTTGTTTCTTTCTTATTTTAATCCTGAATAAGCACTTGCAAAATCTTAAGGGTTTTTTTTCTAAATGTTTTTGTTTATTTTTTTGGACAAAGACTCATAATGTATTGGATTTTTCTCTTTCTGATAAGGCAAACATTCAGGGGAATTAGTAGTGAATGTAAAACAATTAGTACCTTTTTTTCTTTGTTTCACAGCTTTCAGGCTGTGAAGGAAGATAGACAATGGAGCATAACAGAATATCTAATAAATTTGAACAAATAAAGTGGGCAGTGTTTGACTTCTTTGTCTCCTTTACCTTATTTATATCATAATAGGAACACTTTGTCCTTTTCTGTCACTTATAAACCAGCTTTAAAATAAGCTAGCCAGTGTTGTGTTCAAGGCAAAAGGAAAAAGATTTACATTTCCATGACTGTACCTCTCAGAGAGTTTAATGGATTTAAACCCAACGTTGTAGAAAGTAAAAAAGGATGTTTCTACATTGTCGTCATTGATATTTTTTTTTTATTATAGGAAATACTATCAGAAGAGATGAGAAAAGAACTATTAAAAAAAAATTATAATTTGGACTGATAATTTATGCATTATTTATAGAACTGCATAAACTAAGGGATTAAACCTTTTTTTTGTATAAACTGATGTGTATTTAGGCTTAGATTTGATAATCCGGAATACAATCTACTCCTGCAAACTGAAATCTAAAGAGCAATTTTTTTTCAAAGTCCAGCTGAATAAAAGTAATTTAAAGCCACAAATATTCTACACCCTTTACTGAAAACATATTTTTGTTTAATATCTAATATAGTAAAAATGTTTAATAAAAATTAGGTATAGATTTTCTTCCATAGGATACTTGAGTAAAAAAATCAAAACATCTTTCAACCAAATGACAAAAGCTGATCTAAAGACATATTTCAGGTTCTTTTAATATCAGTCGGATGTAAAAATTCAATCAAATATTCTTTTTCGATTGATGTTTGTTATTATACTACATTAGTTGTCTCTTTATATCATTGTAGGCTACTATTAAAAGCCATTGCAGAGGTTATAAAGATCTGAGCCACAGGTTGCAGACGCCTGATCTAGTCCAGCCAATCAAGTCTGCAGCAAGGTAACATTTGAGTAGTAAGACGGCTTAAAGAGCTGTACATACATGCATGCAGTGCAGTTAATTCTATCATTAAAACACATTAAAAGAGGGATGCAATAATGAAAAAGTTGCACCACCTGAATAAGTTGCAAAAAAGTGATGTTATGTGATAATAAACATGGTATTCATGTACCAGGAAGAAATAATTAAAATCTGTTTTATTTTAAAAGTTATTTTTATTCACTGATGTGTATTTAAAAATACTTTTGAATCAACAATGATTCAGAGCCACAAGTGGCTCTTTGGGCCCTCTACAATGGCTAAAAATAATAAAGAACCTTTAATAGTTATAAATTTAATATATGTGCCAGTTTAAGAAACGTTATCTGCTTTTTTAGAGGATAATTACATTTCCAAAATAGAATGACAATCGAACCAATTAGATCTATGTATGTATTTATATTGTCATTAGCTTGGACCTTAGGTTTTGTTTTGTTTTTACAATTTTCTGCAAATATCAGTAATCTAACCTATTTTTTTCCCCTGTCCTAATAACGGAACCAGAAAACCAGTTTGTTTTAAATGAAAAAGATTTCCTATTGCAGGTACCAAAAATAATAATTTGTGTTTTATTTAAAGGTCATGTAATGTTTGCAGCTCTACAACAAAGGTTGTAAAAGGGTATATATATTTTTATAGTTATATCATCATCTGGCTGGATTTATTGGCGGTTGGCAACAAACATTTAGTAGCATGACCTCCACTTACTGGTATGGAGTGTGGTTCGTGAGGACTAATAAACAATTATACAAATTCTAAGGAAAAAAAATACTATATATATATATACACACACACACACACAAATTTACATAATTAAACATAACTTTGTATTCTACCCATACCTCTCTATAAAAACATTCTATGAAATAATGTAGTTTTCTTTAGAAATGGAATTATTATTTGTATACGTTTACTCCCCAAATTCTTCTTCAAAATATCTAATAAATTAATCTTTTCCTTAATACATTCAAACTCTCTCCTCCTTTCATATTTATGACATTCCAGTATAACATGTTCTATTGTTTCATATTTTAAACAGTAATCACATTTGCCAGTAGTTTGCTTTTGAATTTTGAAAAGTGTATAATTAAGTCCTGTTTGTCCAAATCTTAACCTTGTAATCACTCTCTCCTCCTTTCTATTTCATCCTCCATTTCTCCTTCTGAATTTTATAAAACCATCTTCCTGTTTTTTCTTCATCCCACCTTTTTGGCCATTTTTCCATCAGTTTTTCTTTAATAATACTCTTTCCCTGCAATTTACTTGTTTTAACTGTAAAACTAATAGTTTTTTATAGTAAATACTTTGCCATTTCATCTGCCTGCTTGTTTCCTTCCTCTCCAATATGTGCTGGAACTCAAATACAACAATCAAACCCATATATTTTATTCTGAATAATATATGCAACATTTCTAATAGAATGTCCATCCTACTATCTTATTGATTGTACTTTAAACTTAATAATGCAGAACTTGAATATATCATATTATATGATATAACTTATATATTTTTATCAAAATGTGCCTCCTTAATATGTTTTTTCCTATTGTTGGGCAAATACATTTTTACTTAGTTTTAATTAGGGTGTGATTAAAGCCTAATACAATCCTAGTAATATATTATAAACCTAGAATTTGATTTGGTGTCGAGAGAAGAAAGTTTTACTTTTCCACTTCCTCTTATTTTAAAATAATTTGTTTCATATGTTAATTTATTGACAATACGGCTTTCCATACTTGATACGATTGTGATTTCAGCAGAAACAAAAAAAAAAAATCCTTTAATTCCGCCCCGCAGTGCGCATGCGCGGACATTTACGCAGCAGGTAAACTCCACCATGGCGGCGAGAGGCCATGTGCAAGATCCCAACGACAGGAGACTCAGACCTATTTATGGTAAGAAATCAATGAGAAGATCCATCTTTATGTGAGATAAAAGGTTCGATGCACACAGCTGGGTTTTGTAGCGGAGTATATGCGTTTAATAAAGGCTGTTGTAGTTTGGAGCGGAGTGACGCGGCCCCTAGAGTTCCAGCCGCGGGCTGTGCTGCATGCAGCGTCCGATGACAGTGCACCTTCAACGGGCTGACGCTCTGTCAGGAAAGGACACCACGGCGGAGGTCTGCGCCTAATATTACAATATTTGTTTAAAACTACTCGCATTACCATTTGAGTGGAAGCTTTTTATCCGCCTTGGTTTATCTCCTGTGGAGTAGCTCCCCCTCAAAGTCGAAAAGGTTTCTCATTTTGCTAACGGTCGGTGTTTGACAGCTAGCGCGTGCGGCTAATGTGTCAAGCTAATTAGCCTGTCAGTCAGTAGAGACCTTCCTGATAAATGTAAGAGAAAGTTACACAGTTTTGGAGATATTAATCCTTCCCTTTTGATAAGAGTATCCCACATAACTCTGTAGCCCATGTTTAAAATGGATTGTTGCACAGCTAGCCTTTAGTTAGCATTAGCATCACAACAGTAAAGGACAATGCTCTGTAGCTGCCTGGTGAGTGTGATGCTGTCAGAGCTCCGATCTATGAGACGTTTATTACAGATGGATAGTGTGTTTTGTACGATAATCTCAGAGAAATTTTACATGCTTTATTGTTTATTTTTGTAACCATTAAAAATTAGAAGATAAGAAAAACAGCATACTTGAAGGATTTCCGTTAGCATCCTTAAAGTTTTTAGGGAGCCTTTTCTGTAAAGAAATGCGATTTATTTTGGTTATAGTTTATAATAATTTTATGGGCATTTCTTGCTTTTTTGTTGTAATTTAATCACGAAATAATCCATCATCCCTTAAAGAATTAGGCTAAATTAACAGTTTGCAAAGACCAGGGTAAAATGAAATGATCAGGTTTGGTATCATTGATTTTTACCTTCCATAGGAAGATAAGTTAATATAAACCAAGCAGGTTAATGTCTTTCTTTGAGAAGATTTCTTTAAAAGTCACCTTTATGTTCACAGCAGATCTGAGCTGAATTCTGTGCAGTGATGCAGATTCAGCTCAGCAGGGATGGACCTGCAGTACAGCTCTAACCTTCATCATTATTGCTGTTCAACAACAGAGAGAAGAAGGAAAATGATTCCATCATTCTCTTCAAAAAAAGAAGTCTGATATCAAACTAGAGATTTTCTGATCAGAGGTTTCTTTATTCTCTATATAACCATTAGATTTCTATATTTTGGGTAATCCTGTCATCCTGCCTGGCTGTGTTTCCTGGACGGGGCCGCCTTTTACAGCTGCTTCTTGTATCTCTGCTTCTGTCTCCTTGAACCCCAGTCGGCCTCAGCAGATGGCCGCTCACACTGAGCCTGGTTCTGCTGGAGGTTTCTTCCTGTTAAAAGGGAGTTTTTCCTCTCCACTGTCGCTACAAGCATGTTTAAGGGCAGATTATACCTCTGAAACCGCACACATCAAATGTGGCTTGGGTCTGGTCACGAACCAGTTTTGCTGTTATGGTTCTGCACCGTCAGTCGGAAATTTCTAGGGGCACAGCAGTTTCCCGCCAAAGCACAAGGCGGAGCCTATTCAAGAACTTCACTTATTTATCTTTGTCTCTTCCATCTTTGTAATCAGTCCTTTGGGTCCCACCCAACGATCTGGCTGATCTCCCACCAGGAGATGGCAGAGACCTTGGCATCTTTATATAATTTGTCTGCGGCATCATACAAGAGGTTGTACTTCCGAACCTCCTCGATTAACATTTCGTCATAGTTGTCCTTTGTAGTTCCTCAGTTTTTAAAAATGCCACGCCCCGGTTACCGAATCGAGAAGGACGACCACACAGACAGCTGGAAAGGCATACCAAGGACCAATCACAGCTGCTTTTTGTCTGCACACCTCCGTATGAGGCCTGCGCGGGTTTGCGACCGTCCGACACGTAGTCAGAAGTTTTTTGAGGTCCGTGACGACAGAGACAGATTTGACAGCTGCAGACGCTATGCGTCAGAAGCATAAATTGGCCTTTAGTGTGAGGGATTGCTAAAGAGGCAATGAGTCGATGCAATAAACTGGTTTTCCTTAGATGGAAAACTGAATTAATTTGACTGTATGATTTGGCGAACTTTAAAGTGCCTTGAGATGACGTGTTGTGACCTGGTGCTATATAAATAAACTGAACTGAATTGTCATATCAATTCATACTCTGTTATCAGTCTGGGTTGTTTTAGTCAAAGGATATACTCTCCTGGATGGGATGGTTGAAACAGAAATCAGCTGAAGAAAGTCTGCTCCTTAGAAACCACATCCTGATGTTATGTCAGAGTTCAGCATATTTATGTTGAGTTTTCAGCAGTTTGCCTCCTCTATGATGGCAGCTTGAGGTGAGAGAATAGACATGACATAATCACAACATACTGCCTGGCCACAGTTAATTTTGGCAACCAGCTGTCCTAAAGGGACCCAGCAGTCTGCATCCACACCCTGAAATATTCACAAGGCGTTCAAGGAGGCGTGTAACTTGCAGTTTGTCTTTGAGGACTTTATTAGAATGTAAGATAATTACCTTTTCCCTCCATCTTCACCAACATCAGAAAATATGGTGCTTAAAGAGTAATTCATTTAAGTGTATTTACTTAAATGTAAAAGACCTAAGTGGACAAATAATAGCTTTTATGTCAAGCTAAAAAAATAAAATTATTGGTACTTTTGTTCAGCTATTAACGCATGTAGGTTAGAGGATGCCTTACACTGTTTTTTATAATTTTTTTTTAATCTGTAGATGGGGATGCACAATATTACCAGCAAGTTATATGCATCTGTAGATATTAGGCGTAAAACAGAAATATCAGACATTGTAACAATATAACTTACTGAAACAAAAGCGGCATATTTATTTATTTGAACAGTAGAGCTGAAGGGATTAATTCAATTAATCCCCAATGAACTGATTATGAAAATAATCATCTACTAATTTGGTAATCTAATCATTACTTAGAGTATTTCATTAAAAGCTCTAAAAGATGCTGTGCTTAAAGAATAACCAAATTACAGCAGTAATTGAGACAGAACTCATCAGGATACAATTAAGTAATTTGTTTCCCCTCGACTGAATTAGGAAAAAAAATGATAACACATTTGACACTAAATGCTCCTTTTAGAAATATAATAAATAGGGTTACAAACCTTTAGAAACAATATGTCCACATTACCTGTACAAAGAATGATGCATCTGACATAAGCTAAAGTTACAGCTGTCTTTAATAAATAAATTTAAAAAAAAATTAATCACCCTGCCTTTGGTATGATGGAGTAATAGGACCAGGCTAGAGATTTATTCATTTTTTTATTTCGAGAATCAAGTCATCATACAACAAGCTATTTCAGAAAGAAAGCTTCAAGCTCCGGTCAGCTTATGACGGCCGACCAGCTCCACCAATCAGCAACCTGAGTCCACTTTGACCAAATGCCCAATATGATGCTGCTGCTAAAAGATTTCCTTATTTGTCTAGCCAGAGCCAAAATTTAACTTCACATGATGCTCGACTTTCCTCATTTTAGGGAAGAAAGTGCTTCTTGTAAGAGTTGTCATACAACTCGTTTCTCGTAATTTTAGGGCTTTATTCTCTTAATAATATGACTTTATTCTTGTAAATTTATAAGTATTCTCGTACCATTTTTCTCGTAATTTTACAACTTGATTCTCATAATTTTACGACTTTATTCTCGTAATGTTACGACTTGATTCTTGTTATTTTATGACTATTCAGGTTGCGACTTTATTCCTCGAAATAGAAGCGAAAAACATCTCTAGCCAAACATCTGGCCCTAATACTCCATCAAACTTTGGTGCTGTTTGGGAAAATCTTAAAATGTGAAGTTTTCTTGTGTTTTTCTTTACTTCTAAAACTTGCTAAACTTTTTTTTTGCTTAAAATTAATGTTTGCAACAATTTCATTTTTATATACATTTATTTCCTTTCTTTTAGCTTTATCCAGTCAAATTGGATAAACAAACTAGGTAATAGACAGGAGATATTGGCAGATAAGGCTAATAGGATAGACTTGGTGGTTTAGCCAACATGACTGTAATTCAGTGGATTTTTGGTGGTTTTTTTCTGTTGTCTGTTCCTGGATGATCCAAATCTGGGTGTGACTGCATGTTTTTTAATCTGGTAGATCTCTGCAAACAGCAGATGGGCTCTTTTTTTTTTTTTTTTTTATTCTGGAGCTTTTTAGAGTGAGTTTTGCAGGACATTTTTTTTTGTAATTTCTTTATGATTAGATTGAACCTTTAAATAGACCCTGTATTGTTTTGGTAGAAATGATTTATATGAGCTTGTAATCAAGATTGTGACGTTTCCATGGATACCACCTATGTCCATGTTTGGTACCAGGGGATTGTTGATAAAGAGTTTATTAATTTTTCCTGCTATGATAATTAAAACATCTTTTGAATCTGAGCGCTTCTAATGTGTTTCCTCAGATTACCTTGATAATGGCAACAACAAGATGGCAATACAGCAGGCAGATAGACTGCTGAAGAAACATAAGGACCTCCACTGTGCCAAGGTGAGTCGCCAACTCTGATTGCAAACACATCAGCTTCGGTTCTTGTTTTTTTTTTTTTTTATTGGAAATTGCAAGGACAAATTATGCTTTCCTGTAACTTAAAAAAAAAAATTTAAGCATAGATTTGCTGCTTTTATAAGACTGGAGGAGAAAAAGAATCAGTCATGAGCTGCTTAAAGAATTAACTATTTAAATGCACTATTACTTCCTTATCTATAGCAAACTTTGGTGGTTTTCTAGTCTGTGATGTTCTATTCCTCATTTTTAAGATGAGGAACAAAAACATCAATCAATGGTTCCCACTTTTCCTTAAAATTCTTAAGAGTTTGACTTTTAAGAAAAAAAGTTTAGGGTGTCGGAAAGTTTCTGAATTCAAACATAAAGACATTATCTTGAAAATTTAATGTTTGGGGGGTTTTAATTTTAAAAGGATGCAACCCGACACTGCTCTATTTTTTTTTTTATTAAGAGACTGCAGCCTGTTTAAATATTGAGATTTCATAAAGAGGTTTTTATTTGTTAAAGAGCTCTTTCATCACATATTTTTTAATGTTTTTATCCAAATGAGAAATAAAACATTATTAAGGCATGTGGACTTGGATGATTCTTGCTGTTGAATGTTTAATTACCATTAGATGGCTCCAGTGAGCATTCAAAGCTTTTAAGATACTTTGGGAAATTAGTCATTTAGCAAAATTTTTACTGGTGATCTTCATCAGAGTGACATATCATGATCGATAGATTAATTGTGTGAGTATGTAGTTTATAAATTAGGGATTCAAGTGATCTAATAATGAATTAATCTCAAGTAGATTGATTTTTATTGATCAAGTAAGATTAACTGATAAGTGAACATTTTCTTAAAATCCTGAGTTTTCTCTAGTATCATAATGATCTTTCCATAACAGGAAGGGCTAAACCTTTTTACTATATGCTGGATAAAAAAAAAAAAAAACAGAACTACTTCCTCAGAGTGGAGCAAATGGAGGTTGTAGGCTTTGTTTTGTGCAGGCGGTCTGGAGCAGGGTGGGGCGGAGGATGTGGGATTTGGGGGTAACTAAGATGTAATCCTTTGCGTTAAACAAGCGTAACCCTGACACCATCAGGCATGGACTAATTAAGTCTAATCATTATGATTTTTTTAAAATAATTTATTCTTACTATGCATAATTGACATGCATATCATTTATCGGGCTACACAAACCTTAGAAAAGTAATATAGCATCATGTTACCACTGGTCTTAGAGAAAAATAAGAGCAATAATCACCATATGACAAAGGTTATGGTAAAACCTGCAGAAATTACCGTAAATTCCGGACTATAGTGCGCACCTGATTACAAGCCGCACGCTCTAATTTTAGAAAGAAAATCAATTTTGTACTTTTATAAGCCGCACCGGATTTTAAGCCGCAGGTTTCCCACATTGTATGAGATATTTACAAATAAAGATATTACACATGAGCATTTTTTTTAACTTTTGATTTAATCCGTATGATAAAACAAACAAATACGGTACATATTATGAATGCTTTTTTTTTTTTTTCAAACTACCTGTAACACATTTAAATATACGTATGTGTCGGTAATACGCAAATAACGCTGCATATACTTTACCGGTACTTTTAATTGAACAAAGCACAGAACGTTGCAGCCGACCAGGAAAAGTCATTAATCACTTTCTTCTTCCTCCTGCGCACTAAAACCCTCAAAGTCCTCTTCCTCTGTGTCTGAATGGAACAGCTCCAGGATGCTGTCACTGACTTCCGTCTCATCCTTGTCGCTCTCTCTTGAGCACTCGCGGTCCTCTTCATCCCGCAGCAGCCCAGCCTTCCAAAACCCGCCGGTGATGCTGGATGTTTTCACACGGCTCCACGCATTGCGAACCCACTGGCAGACATCAATGAAAGATGCCCTTCACATGCGGCCAGTTTTGGTGAAGAATTTCTCGCCACTGGTCAGCACCTCTGTGAATACTCATCAATTTTATTGGTCTGTTTTTTCGCGCCTTGAAAAAAAACATGTATTAGCCGCACTGTATTACAGGCCGCAGTGTTCAAAGAGCGGAAAAAAAGTAGCGGCTTATAGTCTGGAATTTACGGTATTTAGATGAAGTTAAGAGAGTTTATTTTAATTTTGAATTGGAGATGTAAGCAAACAGGACAGACCTCCAGCGTTTAGTGTTTTGCTGATTTTTAGCGACACTGCTAACCAGATTTACAGGTTTGAATTGGGTTAGATCCAACTCCTCCCTTGGCTTGAGTTTCAGGATAGCCTTATATAGTAAAGTGGGATTGGACCTTCGTCTGTGGTAATCAGCAATTGAAAAAACACTGCTTAACGAAAGGTTAATTTAAATTTTAAGAAAGTTTGCTGTTTAAGAAACTTCAAAGTGCTCTGAATAATTTTTAGTGCTGTTGGTTAAAAAAAGCTAAGCGTACAGCCCTGCCTTAACGTCATTAGATTTGCTTTTATCATAAGACAAATTTTGTATTATAAAAAAAGCAAGATCTGTTTGTTCAAAGCTTCTTTTCTTTTGTTACATTTTCTAAAAGATAAATAAGAACTATCAATGAATGCAAAAGTTTTCCCTTTTTTAAATCTCCTGTTTGCTTGAAGTGAATAAAATGTTTTTTTTTTCCAGACAGCTTTTAAATTTAGGTCAGATTGTCCCTGTGATATCTGAGTTGGTCTAAAACTAAAACAGCCTTTTTATGGAGCCTTAAACCCAGCATAAAGGTACCAAGGTTCAAACTGATCAGAGAATCTGCAGGATGCTGCAAACAGCCTCCCTCTCAGTAAACACCATCATCGTAAGCGTTGACCCGAACAGTCGTAATGCTGATGACATCACATCTCCAACTCCGTGTTTATCTGCCTCCGTTCATTCAGGTCTTAAAGGCCATCGGCCTTCAGCGGACGGGGAAGCAGGATGAAGCCTTCGCTTTGGCCCAGGAGGTGACCGTCTTAGAGCCCACCGACGATAACTCACTCCAAGCTCTCACCATTCTCTACAGGGAGATGCACCGTCGTAAGTATCCTGGCTAGGCCTTCTGCTGGTAAATCTGACGGCATGTCTTTGATTTAAGCCCCGCCTATTGGTTTACAGCTGAGCTGGTGACTAAGCTGTATGAGGCTGCAGTGAAGAAGGTGCCTCTCAGCGAGGAGTATCACTCTCACCTGTTTATGGCGTACGCTCGAGTTGGAGAGTACAAGAAGATGCAGCAGGTGAGAAAACACCTTTTTTTTCTCACCCTTTTATGGTAATAAAATGGTTACAATGACTTCTTCTGAAACTTTACAGGCTGGAATGGCTTTGTATAAAATAGTCCCCAAGAATCCGTATTACTTCTGGTCTGTCATGAGTCTGGTGATGCAGGTATGAGCTGTTTAACTTCCAATTTCCTCTTAATGTTCCCTTTTCTGTAAACTTGAAATAAAAGTGGAGTTTTTTCTCAAGGCGATCTCAGCGAAGGATGAAAAACTGGCCCAGACCATGTTCCTGCCTCTGGCCGAACGCATGGTGGAGAAAATGGTGAAGGAGGAGAAGATCGAAGCAGAAGCAGAGGTGAGTTTCTCGTCTTATTCTAGAAAGTAAAACTCCTCTATTCTATAGATTCTATAGATTCGTTACACACAGAGCTTACTGTTCTTATTCTAACCTTTAGTTCTTGTCATTTTGGATGAAGAGCCTAAATTTAAAGTAGCATGAAAAGGATGCTTATTATAACCGCAAGGTGTCGTCTCTTTATCAGCTTATTACCTTTAATGTATGTAACTGTATCATTTGGAATGGCCTATTCAAAGCCCAGGCCTTCATTCTATCAATAATCCGTAGCGGGACTTAAAAATGGATGCCCCTTAATCCAATCCAACTGAGCTGGAACTCTTTATAAAGAAAAATGGGCAGAAATCTAAAGCCGGGCATATACTGTGATTTTTTTCAATCGTTGCACGCAGCTACAGCTCACACTGTGCGAGCAAACCGCAGGGTTTCGTCGTACAGCTTATGATGCATGTTCTTACACTGTGCAGCACGACACTGATGCAATCTACCTGCTCTTACTGAACGTCTAAAAACCACCTCAGACTAGGGCTGCAACTAACAATTATTTTAAAAATCGATGAATCGGCCGATTATTTTTTCGATTAATCGATGAATCGGATAAAAAATATTTTTTATATTAACCTCTTTATTCCAAAATAAACATTTTACAAACAAGCACACAAGTACAGGTTGCTCAATAACTGTACTGGTGCAATATGAAAAATAAATAATTGTGTTAAAACTACGTAAACTTACATGAGAAATGTAGCTGTACATCCACAAAATATAGGGTACTTTGTTTCATAAAGTGCAAAAAAAGACATTTTTTTTTTAAAAGCCCCTAAGGGGTTCAAACAATAGGTCCCCCCAACTTTATCTTTGCCAGAAGATGTGAACTTTAAAAGCCTTGCCCTCATAATTAGCAAGTTAATTTATTTATAAAGAAAATATAAACGCTGCTTAAGCTAATTCAAATGAAATTAAAAGTAAAATAAGTAGCCAACCTTATCACTGTCTGTAACCTACTAACACGGTAAGGAAAGCATCAGATGAGCTAACGGTACGTTTCCCCACTTTAAAACCAAACAAACATCCTGCTGATCAGCTCTCTTCACTGCCATCAAAGGCTCCAACGTGTTTTCTTGTCAGGTGCTGCATCATAACAGTGGTGGTTCCGTGCCATGTTCATTTGTTTTTACAAAAGTTGCATGTTACGACTTTTTTCGCTTTACGAAGCGCAGGCTGTCTGCGAATTGAGATGCAGCTTGCGTTTGCGTTATCGGTCATTAGAACAGTTGACGTTACTGCCTTTTGATAACAGCCTTTGCGCACCTGCGGCGCTGGCTCGCTTTGCCGTATTTTTTTTCTTCCCCCGTTTCAGTCAAGTGGCAGTGATGACGACGGCGGCGGATGACGCATTAATCGCGCGACACAACTAATCAATGATGAAATTCATTGCCAACGCTTTTAAAAGTCGATTTTTATCGATTCATTGTTGCAGCCCTACCTCAGACTCAGCTCCGCAGTGAGATGGCGCTACTCTGACTTGTCTACCTGGAAGCCAAACCAGTAGAAGCAGAATATGAAGCTCACTAGAGAGAAACGCGCTGCCTTGGCAATTTGTGCAATTTTGTACAAATTGCCAAGGCGGAAAAGGCAACGTATATGAACAAAGACATGGCTGAGCAAACCTTAACTCCATTTCACTCGTACCCCCAACATGCTTCTGTCTTTTCATCTGAGAAGAAGAAGAAGAACAACCTTTGTTTGCGCACTGAACGATTTGCCTGCCATGGACGACTGAACATTAAATATGTTTGATTTTCTCCCGACCTCACGATTCCTGATCAGGAGGTGGTTGTGAGAGGCTGATCCCCCTTCGTTACCACCTGTGCACTGCAGGTCGTACAGTCAGAAAATTTTCGCACAACTTGAAAGTAGATCTGAAAAGGGCAAAAAAATTGCACAGTGTATGCCCAGCTTTAATCCACAAGGGTTTGAATACTTTAGCTCTTCCTAAATGTTCTTCTGTCTCTTAGATCCTCTAAGGGAATGCTCTGTAACCTTTTCAGCTGGAGTTTGTTTAAACCTTAACCTTTGACCCAGTAACAGAATTTGGAATCATTTAAATCTTAGCCTTCTTTCCTGGTTCATTGTAGGTGCAGCTTTATTTTATGATCCTGGAGCGTCTGGGAAAGTGTGAAGAAGCCCTTGAAGTGATCCGGGGTCCACTGGGAGGTAGGCGGACGTCTTCTCTTTCCTTTCTCCCTTGTGGGGGATGTTTTTATACCCAGTCAGTTTTTAGATCAAATGTGATTAAATTGCAGATATATTTTTCAGAGCCACAAATGCAAACCTTTAGATTTATGCTTGTTAGCATTCAACGTTTGGTTCTCTTCATGCATTTTGGAATCGTTGCACAGAGAAACTGACAAGTGAGCTGCAGAGCAGGGAGAGGAAGTGCATGATGCTCTACACACGGCTAGAGCGCTGGCCGGAGTGCAACGCCCTGGCCCAGAAGCTGCTGCTGAAAAAGTGAGTCAAGATTTATGAAGCAATCATTTTTAATCGTTTTTCTCACACCTCTTTCTCTATGGAAAATTTTAATGCTGGAATAAAGTGAGATAAAAACCCCTAAAATATTCAGATGGAAGCATTTGGTTCATTCCTCTTTACATCAGACCAGCAGTTAATTAATAAACGTTCCTGAAAAGCTTCATTTTTATCTGACCTGAAATGATCAGTTTGGATCGAACTCGCTAAAGATTAAAGCTAATAATACCCCAATCAGACGCACATTTTCTCCTTCCTGTGAGCCTGGTTGTGTTTGTTTGTCGCTGCATTCAGCAGGTCGATTCATGGCGTTGAGCCTGTTGGACTATGATAAATTTCATTAATTTAATCTGATAGATGAGAATTCCAGGTTTGAAAAACCAAACTGAACGTATTAAAAGCTGGAAAAATATCCTCTTAGATCTAATGCAGTGATATTTAACTAATGAGCTGTTCAGAAATACTAATAATAATGAACTAACCTCAGTAAGTTTCCTGCATTTAAGTTGAGGATGTTCAAAAATGTGGGTCCCAAAAAATTGAGTCGAGTCTGTAACTAAGTAATCTCATGTTAATCTAAAATATGTATAAAGAAAATAAACTAACTTTTTAATATAATCTTTGCTCCCAATTTATTGAATAAACAAACGTACACAAGCTTATACTTATGGTTTTTAATCCATTATTTAAGTTACTTAACCATCAGATCAATTGAGTATTTTTATTTATTTTTTTAGTTTTTACGGCACTAGTGGTTCGTTTTTCTGACAGTAGGCTGACAGGAAAGGAGGTATGAGAGAGGGGAGAGACATGCGGCTGGATTCGAACCCTGGTCGCCCGTGTGCACTAACCCCTGCGCCACCAAAAGCACGACCTAATTGAATATGAAATGCTTACACATCATATTTTTCACCCTTTTGGGGGCGGGGTTTGCTCTGAAGAGAGGAGGAAAGATGCTTTTCTATTGGTCTGCAGGTTAGCAACATTTTTATTGGTCAAGAGTGAGCGTTTGGATTAGGCTTGAAGTTAAGAGAGTGTGATCTGTGGAAAAAATTGAAAACAATGGAAATCTTTAAATCTATCTGGAAAAAAACCCCTGAAATTTATAAAAATAAATAAAGAAAATAAATTTAATCTGAAAATATGAAATCTAAAAATTTGATTTAAATTTTTTTTTTTTTTTCCAGTGTTTTATTTACATTACACTGTCACAAGTGAAGAGCTACGAAATTAACTCTCAGCATTCAACCCATCCCCTTGGAGAGCAGTGGGCTGCCATTGTGCGGCGCCCAGGGATATTTTTGGAAGCACCTAAACCTATTACTCTTTACTTTTTATATTTAAAAACCATTTAAAATTTTAATTAAGAAAAAATTAAAAATATATATATTGTAAACTGAAAAAAACTACAAAATTACTCTTAAAATGTGTTTTTCTATTAAGTTTTTTTTTTTTTTTTTTCAAATCTGGATTGATATTCTTAAATTTCAAATTCTTTGCTGCTTGCATCAACAACAACAAAACAAAATTCTTTATAGAAAAGCAACTGATCTCCTGTAATAATTCAGCAGCCAGTTTCACAGCAGATTTGGCTGCTTTCTGTTAGATCAGTAACACATGGTCTGTTTTCCCTTTCAGTCCAGATGATTGGCAGTTCTATCCCTCCTACTTCGACTCTCTGTTCCACCTGATGGATCAGTCGTGGAGCCCGCCAGAAGACGGCGACCAGTGAGTGGAATCGCTCCATCAAAGCTCACTACTAGCTAAGAGGGGATTCCTTTAACGTCTGATTGTGTCTCCAGCTGTTCGGAGGGCTCTGTACATCACACGGTATCGGAGGTGGTGAGGTTTGTAGAGGAGAGGATTACGGTAGAGGACGGCAAAGACTCTCGATCGCTCAGAGGGCCTTATTTGGCTCGGCTGGAACTGATGCACAGACTGAGGGAGCGAGGATACCCTGAGGAGAACCTGCCAGGTAAAAAGCTCTGACCGGACCCACGTTTTAAAGCCAGCTGGTGCATTTTTAAATCAGTCTGCTGTTTGGATGTAAACAGGCGAACCTTTAGAGCTGATGGTGCAGTTCTTCAGAAAGTTTGGAGACAAGCCATGCTGCATCACAGACTTGAAAATCTATCTTCACCTGCTAGCTCCTGACCAACACGTCCAGGTAGGAGCGATTCCTAGTCCCGCCTGCATAAGAGTGGAGGGCTGGGTTCTAAAACATGCCGCCATCTTTTATGTTCAGTTTATCAACCGGCTCAGTGAAGCGGTTCCCCTGGGAGAGCAGGGCGAGGATGGCTTCACCTTCCCAGAGGACACCAAATCCCTCCAGCGGCATCTGTGCGTCTGTCAGCTGACCCGAGCCCTCGGCCTGCATCACTCTCTGGACGTCCCTGGGAAACTGCGCCTCATCGCCGAGCTGAAGGCTCACTATCGCCACGGGCTGAAGTTCGGTATGACCTTTCAGCATCCTACGCTGTTCTGAACATCAGGGTCAAGAGTTGTGAATACCAGCAGTAAGATCAGAGCGTAGGTTCATCATAGAAACGCAAGGTGTGACACCAAACACTTAAACATCGATTGATTGTTTTTCTTTCTTTTTAGGTTGTAGAGCTGTGTTAACAAAAATAATTTATCCGATCAGGTTAATTCATGATGATCGAATCATTAAACAATTCACAAATACAATTTGTGAGCTGTTCTGTCCGACCAGCATACCTATAGCCAATACGCATGAGCAAGACGTCAGATTTGCGTTTATCCATTTAGCTTTGTATAAACAATAGACTTTGAACTACCTCAGTGGGCATATATTTCTTTAGTCATCTACAAAAAGAAGCAATTTAAGGTCAGATCGTGGTACGCTTCAAAAAACACCAAACAGGTATTGACTATGGGTATGATGGTCTGACAGAACACCGGCATTTCCAGCTCACACATTGAATTTCCCCACCATTACTTCATTTATTCGCTGTTAAAATGATGCCAGTATCATTATGACTTTGGGGAAAGCTGTACAGCCATGAAACTGAGGTAACGACCAAAAAGGACAGTTTTAATTCCAGCAATCGGATTTAAAAAAATTTCAAAATCTTCAGAATCCAAAAGGTTCTTAATATTTGAATCAATATTCAGCAGGTTTTAGATGTTTCATTTTCCATTTTTAAAATAAAAAATGGACTCCATGCTGGGCCTGGTTTTCTTTTGCAAAGAAAAGGGTCAGAAGATACTCTAATATAAATATATATTGGAGTATCATTTCATTCATCAATACCTAACTTCTAAACGCCATTAGGATATGCATTACAGTTTTTGATCATAGGATTTATATAATCAATCATTTTCTTAAAATGTTTAGTTAAATGAGTTTAAAACAAAAAGTTCACCAAATTAAACCTGAAGTCAGAGGAATTGATATGGATTCATTAAATTCTCTTTGGGACCGAATTTCTGTTTGTTCTTCTGGCGTTAATTGTGGAAAAAGGCGGGGTCATTCACAGCTGGCTAGGCTAACTGAAGCAGCTTAAAGACAGGCATACACTGTATAAATTTTTTATTTATTTTTTTTGCCCTTTTCGGAAATCAAACATGTTATATGTTCAGTCGGCCGTCATGGGCAAATCGCTCAGTGCCCAAACAAAGATTCTTCTTCTTCTTCTTCTGAGATGTAAACGCAGAAGCATGGTGGGGGTGCGAGTGAAATGGAGTTCTTTCTGTAAAATTGACAGACCATAGTAGCCACGTTTGCTCAGCCATGTCTTTGTCCAAATACGTCGTCACCTTTTCGTTTTAGGGCTTTCAGCACAAGTTGCAAAAATTTCCAAGGCAGCACGTTTCCCTCTAGTGAGCTTCATATTTCACAGGAGGCATCGACACTTCTATCTTTTTCCTCTTCTACTCGTTTGGCTTCTGAATAGACGAGTCAGAGTAGCTCCATCTCACTGCGAAGCTTAGTCCAACATGGTTTTTAGATGTACAGTGTGAGCAGGAAGATCGCATGACAGCGTCTGGTCGCACAGTGTGAGAACAAACATCGTGAGCTTTGAGCTAGCAACGATTGAACAAACTCACAGTGTACGCCAGGCTTAAAGCTCTGAGTAAAGCAGAAAACCAAGCTTTGATTAAAACCTGTCTTTTTTTTCCTTTTCCTTTTCCTTTTTTTTTTTTTTTTAATACAAAACAAGCCGGTTTCCAGATTTCGAGAATCTCACAATGCAGCACGGTCACGCATCACCCTTTCAAGTCCAGCAGAGTTTTGCCATTTGGTCGAATGACAATTATTTAAAACCTACCTCTATGGGGAGCACAGGCTGAAGGCCTAAATCAGATCAAAGGTCAAATGTTGTCCTTTTGTCTTAGCTTTGCTCTTAGCTAGCCTCCTGTTTTTTTACAGGCAGCGGTGCCCTGAAGACGGAGCTGCAGTTCTCTGATATGTACTGCCTCATGGCAGCTCATGTGTTCATCGACCTGTGGACAGAAACAGGTCAGCCTCTTCAAAAATAAGTCTTGATTTCTGTTTTAATTTCACTGAAACGTCACCGTCTCCGTGTGTTTGTGCCTGCAGGGGACGAGGACATGGTGTGGCAGTGTTTAGGGCTCTTAGAGGAGGGTCTTTCTCAGAGCCCCTCAAACGCTCAGTTCAAGCTGCTGCTGCTGCTCCTCTACTGTCGCCTGGGATCCTTTGAGCCTGTGGTGGACCTTTATTCCAGCCTGGATGCCAAACACATACAGCACGACACCATAGGGTCAGTTCTGCCACTTTGGTTTTCTCCTAATTAATGGTCGAACGTTAATTGTTGACTTCTTAAATGTGACACTTGAAGCATCATAGACTTGATTTTGGTTTTAAAATAATCATTATTTCAGTACGAAATGTGAGAGCCGTATTTTTTAAACAAACTCTTTCCAAAAAACGTTCATGAAGAAGATTTTTTTTATTTCAATAAAAGAATCTGACTTTCATGGATTATAGATTCCTGGTATTTATTTGTTTAGTGTTACAGAATTTGAGCTTCCAGCCCATAAAACCCACAACAAAAGGAATGAAAAAAAAAATTTCTTCTAAGTTAATTCTTCTAAGAGATCAGGGTTACAGCATAGCGATAAAATATGGTGCGTTCTGAAAAATAGTAAAAATGTCTTAAAATAGATGTATTAACCCTTAATTTGAGCAGGAAAATAAGATGATCTCCCAAATGAAAGAGCATTTTTACCCTTAAAATAAGATTACATTTTTTTTGCTTAAAAACTGGACTTCAAGCAGCTTGGATTCTCTGACTCTTTAATTTTTAGATAAAATAATAAACTTTTACTTTGATCTGAACCTGAACAGAAACCTTCTTGTGTTTTGGTTTAGACGTGGGAGGATGCCACCAACACTGTCCCTCGATCAGGGATGGCTTAAAAGAAACGACAGTGGGTGAAGTTCTAGATACAAGTATTAGGGCCACTGGAGGTGAAAGGAAAAATGAGAAAATGTGAACGCTAGCGGAGGTTACTGAGGTTGAAGCATTAGTTTTTGCAGCATGATGCCATAAAGTTGATGCAGCCATGTTGAAGCTTCTTCCTGACATCTTCAGTCAGATCCTGTCTCAAGCGTTAATGGCAAACCTGCACCTAAGAGAAGTCGTTTCCAAATGTACTATCCCTTACACCAAGTTTTAGATGCTTCAGAGCTTTAAAACACCTGACTCAGATGATTGGAGTTCAGCAAAAACCTGTTTATCATCAATCAAAGGAACTCGACGTTTAAAAAATGCGGGACAGAGTCCCTCAAGAGCTGGAGTTGGACACTTCTGGGAAAATCCAGAAGCGCACCTGGTAGATTTACCACCTAAATGCTAGATGACATTCCATCGTTGTTGTTGTTGGGTATATCAGATTTAATAAGGTTTTTTTTTAGTTTTGTGAGAAATGAGTTTGTTTTTTGCAAACTCTTTGCAAAAAAGGTGCTGCATGGTGGTCGCGAAAGTTTTGGTTGATTAGACCTTTTTTTTTTTTTTTTATATTCCCCCCTTCAATTTTTTTCCAATAATTAAAATGTCTTTAAATCCACATTAACATGAATTTAACACACTGTAGTAAACAGATAAATGGAGGCAGAAGATGTCTTTCAGTCATCAATGCTCACATTCAGCGACACACAGGAGCTCTGTCAAGCTGGGCACCGTTTCATTCACAACACCTGTCCCATCAACCAGGAATCAGAAATACTTTAATAATCCCAGGGAGAAATTACTTTAGTTACATTACTCCATCTGTAACAGAGTGACTATAGGACCAGTTTGATATAACATTATTTCATACTATATATATATATAATTAGTGGGTCCCCGCTCCATCTCACCATCAGTTTGGGAGACCTTGTCCTGGAAAACGTTGGAATACTCCTGCTTTACAATGTCAGAAAGCATCTTTAAAAGTTAAATATTTTCCCTTTTATTTATGGAATGTAAATGATCGACTTTATTATCCGAGAATTTCCAAGTTTATCTCTGGAACGTGTGTGATATTCCTTTCGTCTGCCAAATGCTCTCTGGTAACTCG